ATTGATCCCCATGGAAACCTCTTCATCCTCTGATGACAGTTGTGACAGTTTTGGCTCTGATAATTTTGCAAACACTGTAAGTAAAAAGTGTGCGAATAAACAGAATTGAGTGTGCCGGGCCGGGAAAAAATGCCCCGTACATGATTAAAATGCTTTGCTTACATTTCTGTACAGTGGTTATGAATATACAGTATGTACTGTAATTTCATTTCACTTTTCCCCTTGTGCTTCTAGGTAGTAATTGTTGGAGGTAGATTAGCCACTTACTCTATCCTTTTGAAATGTCGCCTAACCTAACATGCCTGCTGATTTGCCATAACAGCTCTGAAACAATTTGTAAACCCCCTGAACCATTTTTCTTTGTTACAAAAGTTATTCTCTTGTAGTGCACTTGTAAAATGTGATTTGCTCTCTGCACCGTTTATGGAAAATAGGTTCTCTTTAAAAAAAAAAAAAGAGGAGAGAAACACCTAGTGTACTTATTCTTTTTAAGAAACGGAAGTTCAAGCCAGAAGTCATGGAAGAAATGGCTAAAATTTTTCACGAGAACTCAGACGATGAATCATTCTGCGGTTTTTCAGAAAGTGAGATTCAGGATGTGCTGGTGAGTTGCTATTTAATTGCCTTCACCCTGCATGAGCACATGGATTCTGCAGTATGGCTACACAGGTTCATGTCACGAGGAATGAGTGGGTTCTCATCAGAGGTCATTTCGCGGGGGATCGCAGTTCCCCCCGGGTGAGGTACGGGGGGGGCACATGACGAAGCCCCGCCCCCTGCTTCCGGCCGCCCCGCTTCTGGCCCTCATTCAGCCAGAAGGAGGCAGGAGAAGAGGGAGGGTAAGTTGCTTCCTCCCCGCCTCTCCCCACCCCTGCCTGCCTGGGGCCAGGGAGGGCCTTGGCGGGGCTTCCTCGCACTCCCGCCGGCCGGGCCTTATGATGTCAGGGGGTGTGGCATATGCTAATGAGTTATGCTAATGAGTTCCCTTAGCTCTTTTTCTACAAAACGACCCCTGGTTCTCATAATATAGCCAAAAAAGAATCTGTTGAAGCAAGTGGCCTGTTCTCACATGTAGTGCAAGTCACATGAATTCTTGGATCCTGGCAAATAACAAGTTGCAGCGCGAACTGCAATCTTGAACAATCTTAATTATGTAAAATGTACTGGGATATATCCAACCATCCACAGACTCTTCAGAGTGTGATTTTCTGCATCTCCCCCCACACACCAGTAGTCGACTGTCCCCCCCCTGAAACTTTATTCCTGGCGGCTGTGGACAGCATATCTTCATGTGCTGCCCCAGCCAGCGTTATAAACTGTAGTTAAGTAGAACTGCCATATATCTTTAAGAGCAGTGGTTCCTGGGAATTAAGACTTCAATTCCCAGGAACCACTGCTCTTAAAGATATATGGCAGTTCTACTTAACTACAGTTTAAAACGCTGGCTGGGGCAGCACACCTCATGATCAACATTGGGGGAGCAAAGTGAGAGAGACGGCTGAAATAAAGGCCTCCTTTTCCGGACTCTTAAGTGCCATGAAGTCTTCAGATCTTGTATGCCTTTTTTTTAATAACTAGTTGGTCCTGGCCCCCCAGAAAAAAAGTCCAAAGAGGTATATACTAAAACTGCAAGATAAGAATATAACACACCGCATCACAATAATAATATTTTTAGAACTCACCACCAGAGCCTTGATGGACAGGGAACCTCTTAAGAAGCTTCTGAAACATGGGCAGTGAAGAAAACTGCCCAAGTCTTCAGTGGAAGAGCTTTGTTCCAGAGCTTTGCTGGCATGATTGAGAAGGCCATGTGCCATGTGCCTGGCAAATAAGCCCCTGAGTGTGAGGCAACCTCAGCAAGGCTGGGAATGCATCTCCCTAATACAGCGGAGCAGACACTACCCCCAGAAATGATGTGAATTGGTGTTTTTCTGGTAGATTAGCTTTGGCAGAGCAGGTACATGTGAATGTTCAGGTGAGGAGAGTCTTCAGTGGGAGGCAATTTAGATCGGGGAAATGGGACAAAGGGGCAAGGGGCGGTGCCAATTCCTTGATCAAATTTGCAACACCTTTGTGGTTTCTTTGAGGAAAGACCTTGGGATAACAGTATACACCTCTCCTGTATCACACCTAGTTTTAGATCAAGGTTCGTATTACTGAATACAAAGCCTTGGATACATTTAGGGGCCGCTCGGTGCTGGTTTTTCAGATGCCACCAACTTCAATAAGCCTGTCTGTGGAGTCTAGTTTGGCACGGATCCATCTGTAGACATTAAAAATGCCATGGGAAGCTCTTAAAAACAACTGTTTGGAGTGCAGCGCAGGGTACTATATTTGTGTTGCATGTGGTGCAAACAGGTTACTCGAGTGGGTTTAGATTACCCTGTTGGCTGTATAAGCGAAGTAGGACATAGCAGATTTAGAGTGCAAGGTATGAGCTTTCGTGTGCCTGCACACCTTTTTCAGATACCTTGAATAAACCTTTGTTGGTCTTAAAGGTGCCACTGGACTCTAAATTTGCCCTGCTTCAGACCAACATGGATGACCACCTGGAACTAGTAGGTTATAAGTTCATGCTGGTAGACAATACCATGAGGCACCTTCCCTTCTCTTTTCCTCTGCCCTCTGATCGAGTAATCCCTAGGCTCATCCCACTTGGGCTGTAGCCTCTCATGGTGTCCTGTTTAACTCTGCTGATACCTTGTCCGTTAGGACAAGTTGTAAGCAATGTTCCCTCTAAGCTGTGGAGTCTTGTGAGCCAAAATTCTAATTTGTGAGCTACAGGCATGAAAGTTGTGAGTGCGCGATTTGGCTGCTGCAAAAATTAGTTGGCTCTGGAGCCCTCCTTCCTGAGCTAAGACAAAAATGTGTGAGCCGGAGGCTAAAAACCTGTGAGCTAGCTCACACTAACTCAGCTTAGAGGGAACACTGGTTGTAAGCACCTGCTGTGTCCTGATCTTCAGTTTACTAGACCACCACTCCTGTGGGTGAGTGCCTCCTCCTCCCTTAATGTTTCTCTTTCTTTTTTTGGCACAGTTTCTAGATCTTCTCTCTTCCCCTTTTATTCTCCCAAGTAAGAGCATGAACTGTAGTGGTTATGTGCATCTGCTGCCACAGGTGTTTCCTCAGTCTTTCTGAGGCCCGGCAAGTTTTGAGTGCGGGGCTTTCCAACTGGTATTGAACTGATGCAGCAAAAAAAGGGCTGTGACTTGAAGGGTTCAAATAGGAACAGGGTGGGGTTCTGTATTCAATATTATTAGAATGAGGATTGCACAATGTGTCACTGTTAAGTTGTCCCAGTGCGGCAGATGGTTGGCAGCATGCAAATGGGCAGATGCTATATGGTTCAAAACCGTTCCTTCTTGGGTTTTCCTCATCATTTTTCTTTTTTGGGCCTGAAAAAGGGCAAAAATTAAACTGAAAAGATGATGAGGAAACTTACTCAAGAGTCAATTTGCAATGAGGTAATATTACCTAGTGGGGTGTATGTGTTTGTGTGTTGTTGGACTTCTTCTGTTGAGAAGCTGGAGTTCTGGATCCTGTGGTAACATCTAATTGGCTGTGGTTTTAAAGTCCCATTTTTGCTTTGAATAGAAACTGGAGACGGATACTGAGGAAAATGATACGCGTGTGAAAAACCAGCTTCCACCCACGAGGCTGCGGGAGTGCTCTGTGCGTCTGATGAAAGTTGCTATTAAATTTCCCCCTCAAAAGTCCAAGAGAGTAAAGAGCAAAAGTGTGGCCATCAAGCCTGAATTGGACTTGGATTTGGATTCTGATGAGGAAAGAGGCCCCAAATTCTTAGAGAAAAGAGCCTTAAACATAAAGGAGAACAAGGCCATGGTAAGTGCAAAGGAAAGGTCTGGAGTATGTTAGAGATGGGGGTGTTCCTCCACGCCCTCATCGAAACTGAAGAAATTCTTCTTGTGATTTCAGAATTCTTCACGCTCATTAATAAGAGGTGGTCGCCTACATTCAGTTCAACGCTCTTTTTTCCACTTAAAATGCTTTTACCCAGCAATTAATGAGGTTTAATCCACAGACAACTGATCTATTGTTGGCTGGTAGCTTAGCCATTTGAAGGTTAAAGAATCTGCCCATTCTGAGTATTTAATTATTTATTTATTTAATTAATTGATTAATTTGTGCCCTACCTTTCTCTTCAGTGGGAGCCCAAAGCAGCTCAACGTCGCTCTGCCCTCCTCTGTTTTATCCTTGCAGCAGCCCTGCGAGGCAGGTTAGAGTGTGTGACTGGCCCGAGGTCACCCAGCGAGCTTCCATGGCACAAGTGAGGATTCAAACCCTGGCCTCCCAGATTTTAGTCCCCACACTCTTAGCCCCTACACTACATTGGCTCACCAGTATGGTGACTATGGATGCACTTCTAAAAGAAAAATTAGTAGCTCAGAGGTTCTGTTAGACTGGCACTTCTGTGTGGCTGCCTGACTTGGCTTCTGTGTTGTGTATTGCTTTTAGCCAAATCTGGTACCCCAGCTGCTTGCCTCTGTGTGAGCGATATGACCTAGTCATAGTTGTTGTTGTTGTTTATTCCATTTATACCCCACCCTATCCCACAAGTGGGCTTAGGGTGGCTTACAACATGCAAAACAATAAAACAACTCTAGTGCCCAATAATATTTAAAACAGCAGGCACTGGGAAGAGGGGCATAAGCATAAACATGTTATCCAGTTCAGCCTTATACACATTCTTGTTAACAGACTTAACTCCAAAAAGTTGAGGCAGGGACTTCCTTTTGTAGAAGATGTGCTTATTCTTCTGTATCCTTAATAATACAAGTATTAATCAGGCAAAGTTACATTAGAACAGTTGTTTATTTTATTTATAGTCATCCTTTCTCTAGTTTTAGAAGGACTATGCCAGAAGCCACTCTTGTTTTCAAGTACAATTCAAAGTGTTGGTTGTCACTTAGAAAGTGTTATAGTCTGGGGTTAAAGGGACCATTTAGTCTCCCTTGAACCTGCCTAACAGTAAAGATTCCGTAACAGGCCCTGCTGTATGTGCCTCTACTTTCAGAAATGAGAGAGGCAGAGACCAGGCAAGGCCGTCTTTGGTGTGGCCCGGTAAAAACCCTGTTTCAGCACTTCTTGCCTGTCTTAGTGGTGTGTCCCCCCCGTCCCCCCCCCCCATTTGATGGAATGCTGCTTATTCTGTTTATTCTTGTTCCTTTAATGTTGCATTGTTTTGGCCTGATTTTTATATTTTACTGTCAGATTTTTATGAGAGTTATCCAGTTTTTTATTATATTCTATAGCTTAAAGTATTTTTAGGCTTATTTTTGTATGTCCTTTTTAAAAGGAGAAATTGTGTTTTAATGATAAACCATGACCCACCTTGGGCATTTCTAAACGGATGTATATATATGAACGAAGAACTAGGCACCAGTGATAATAATAACATTTTTGAGATGTGTTCAGTCAAATTTTTCAGTATTGTCTTTTATTCCCTGCTGAAAAGGACTTTAAAAAAAACAAGGAAGGCCATGCGCGCCTTCTGAATAGTGGTGGGGTCTGGCGTAAACTGACTGCCAGTTAGCAACCACTTGCATGATTTCAGAAAAGAAGATCCATGCCAGTCACTTGTGAAGAGTAGTGGTGCCCCTTTCTTGGAGGTGATTCAGATTTAGTAGACGATTGATTCCCAGGGCTGGCAAACTTGCA